TCGACGCGGCGCCCGGGGTTCGGGCGCGGCCCGGGCCGCTCGGGTCCCTCCGGGTGTCTCCGGCGGTTGTGCTTTGGGAACCTTCACTGGGGCCATTTTACGTCTCTTTTTAAAAAAGGACGAAGGTTGAAAAGCACTTCTCAGTTCCTTCGGAACGGGTAAAATGGCGCAGGGGAAGCAAAACCCTCACCGTACCTTGCACTAGCAAAAGCACCAGAAACAAACAAAAAGCTGCCGTGGTCACAGTGCCCCCGCTTTCGCCTGGAAATTTGCCTACTTCCCGCTTGCCCCTTTTTGGTTCCTTGCGATCACGTAGGTTTGCAAAAAGCAGTCACATAAATAACCTTTTCAGTCCCCAACGCAATGTGCTCACTCGTCCACCCAACTCTTATTTTTATTGTGACAACAAAACACGTTTTTGCCCGGTCCCAAAGGCTGCAGCCAAGCCCGCGGCCGCCCGACCCCGTACCGTTGGCGACTCGGGTCGATCCATCATGGCTGCGGCCGCTTAGCCTGCTTTTCGGTCGCTCAGCCTTGTGGTCCTCCTCCCTTTGGCTGCCCTGTTTATATAGAGCCATTGCCGCTCTCTAATATAGACTCTGCCAGGATGGGAAGGTGCTTTTCAGGCCTACGTCACCGCCTCTCCATTTAAACACCAGATCCGGCTTTAAATAGTGAGAGCTGCTCCGAGCGGGGCTGGGAGGTGCGTGCTCCCGAGGCGAGAGGAGGGCGCGTGCGGAGCGCAGTTGGTCCCCAGGTCCTTTTCCTGCGGCTCTCCTTTTGCACCCGGTGGGCGCCGCTTTCAGAGCCCCAAGTTTTTGGCTGCAGTAGCAGCTGGGATGCATCCTCTTTGTTTGTCGGGGGAAATAATACGCGAATGGCCGTCTTTTTTTTTTTTTTTTTTTTTTAATAATTTTAGATCAGATGGACTGATCATTTTGCTTGGTGTGGAAAGGTAGCTGAATTATTGTCGGAAATTTAAAATGCTTTTCGACGTCAAATGTTAGCTGCGGAAGACAGATTGGGTAGTATTTTGTTGTTGAAGTGCAGTATTCAGGAGATGTGTTAGAGGTGTAGCTCATAGTATTTCATTGTGTTTTCCAATAATTTCATAGGCACAGAGCTTTTCACAGAAATAAATGAATAAAGCTTCCATATAGGTGTCTGTATAGAGTCTTACGTTTGTGGAGGAGAATTGGGACTAATGAGTGAGGAGTCTTATAGCAAACATGCTTTTTTTAAAAAAAACTAATTAGGGGGTATTTGTATTGCACTGGGTATTAACACAGTAGCTTGTGTAAAAATTGATCCAAATTACTTTCTAACATTGCATCAGAGAACTAACGCTTTCAGAGGATCCTTCCAATTTATCACTTGACAGTGCCACTCATGGCCCTCTAGTTTACCAGTTTTAAGGTTTGGAATATTTGTTTCTTAAAATTGAGGACAAACCAGAATTACTCTGTGTAATAAAATACAGTGAAATACAAAGACTTTGGTTCAAGTAAAGCTTAGAATTTTAAATAGTAATTTAGAAATTGGGTATGTCAGATAGTGCCTGCATGCCAACGCGCTTTTAAAAACATTATTTTAAGGACTTCAAATTATGAGGAATTGTGTTAAATTGTTCTTTCCGTACATATTTTGTGAAGACAACACATTTCCTTTCTCCCTTCAACATTAGTGCTTTTGAATTGGCTAAGCGATCAAGTTTTGCGTTCATTAAGGCACAGAAGCAAAATTTTAAAGTATGATTGATTCGTTAAATAGGGAGTACCAGAAGAAAGCACAGTCTTTAAAGCAAAATTATAGTGAAAGATACATTGCCATTAATCCTCAAATACTCCCCCTAACCCTAAACACTTAGGCCAGCGTTCTTGGCACTTTCTGAAGCAGTTCTGGAGGTCCGGTTTCCTGAGTGTGCTTGGTTATGCAGTTGTGGCTGCCTGGATACCCCAGATGTATTAAAAACATTTACCTTTCATGGTCATTTTGACTTTGGGAAAGAGCCAGACGTTCCATGGTACCACATCTGGGGAAAAAGAAAAAAAAAGTGAAGACACACCATAGTGCCTTAAATGTTTTGAACTGATTCACAACATTGAGGCAGCCATGAAAAGACGCAAAGGAGGACTGCTTCAGAAAGTGGCAAGGATGGGATAAGTGTTTGAAAAAAGTGGGAATATTTTGAGGGGCATTAATGGTAGCATGTCCTTTACTGTCATTAATTTTTAAACATGCTGTCGTTTTTTGCCCAGCTCTTGTATGTATCGTAAGTTTGAGATCTGTCTTGCCAGTTTTAAAATTGCATAGTCTATAATAGGCAACACTTTAGATAAACTTTTGTAATTTTGTAGTTAAATCACTGTAGGTAAGATACCTACCCATTGTTAGGAATATGTTACTTCTATAATAAGAAGGAACTGTAGAGATGCAGATTTTACTAATTAATAAAGTTTACAGAGGCAGATTTGGCAAAGTAAAACTGGTCAGATGGATTAATTATTTTGGTTGTAACAAAAAGGAATAATGAAAAGATGAGTTTAAGAGATTTCCTTATGATGACATTGTTACTGATAAAGATGATAATGAAGTATTTATTTGTTTGAGGTTTGCTCATGAGGGCAAACCATTGGTTTTATTGGATAACCAGTAAATTTTACCTTAAGCAAGTTATAAAACCCAAGCAATGGCAAAGCATTAAGCCCCAAAAAAGTTGTTAACATTAGTTCTGTGGCACGGGATTTTAGGTAGGGAACTACTGCATTATCTGACATGCACTTTCCCTTGTCTAACAAGGTAAAAATAAATATGAGTTAGGCTAATTTTTCACTCCTTTTTTTTTGTCTTTTTAAGACAGGGTCTCATTATGCAGTTCAGGCTGGTCTTGAACTCATTTTGTGGTACAGGCTGGCCTCCAACTTGCAGCAATCCTGTCTCAGCCTCCCAAGTGATGGGATTACAGGTGTGCACCACCACACCTGGCACTCCCTCCGTTTTTTAAAAAAAATTTTTAAAGTACTTCACATCTAGTCTCATTTTATTCTTGTAATTATTTAGAAGCCAGTCTCCACTTCTTTACCTCAGCTGCACTACAGGTAATACCAACACAGTAATAATAGTGATAGTAAAATGAACATACATGAGTGTTGATTTTGTTCCATTGTATCACTTGGGCAAGAGTAAAAAGAGAATAATCGTGGTAAAGGGATCAGAGCACCTTGTTCTTCTGGGACCTTGAAACCTGTAATTGTGGGTATAGTAACAGTTTAATGGTACAGCTTGAAGGTATAGACTAGGTCAGAAAAAGAAGAAGTGCACTGATTTCTAAACTTGAACATTCATTAGGTTGCTGGTTATTAGCAGGCAGATGGTTATTGAAAATAAGGTTTGTCATAGGCTAAGATTTTATGGTATGATTATTAAATGTAACAAGGATTAAACCAACCATGAAACTGGAGCTATTTTTAAACATGCTAGGTTTTTGACTACAACACAGGAAATTACTAACAGAAATTGTATGGGCCTTGTATACATAAGGACTTTCTGTTTTAAAATTGCGTTAAGTCCATTTTAGCTAGGGCAAATAACGTTTATTGGAATGGCCATATCCTTAAGTTTTTAAATGCTAAAATACAGTTATGACAGACGGCCATATCTTTAAAATTTTAAATTCTAAAATAGATCTCGGCAAAATAATGATTGTATTTATTTTGAAATTGTGAAAACCTGTTAACAAACGATCTTTTTAAAGACTTTATTTTTGCTTTAAAGCCTAAACTATATAGGTCAGTGATTGAAGATGTTATTAATGATGTGAGAGACATCTTTCTGGATGATGGAGTGGATGAACAAGTCTTGATGGAACTAAAAACTGTGAGTTCATCTCTTTTTTCTTTTCCATAGCTCCCCACCATTCTCTACCCAAAAATGAATTTATAATTTTTCCATAAGATTAATGTTTAACTCGAAGGAGGTAGTATATGTAGTGAAGGGTATTAGTTTTAAATCCCAATTCTATTCATTCATTCTTCCCCTGATTTTAGGCAAGGTACTTCTTTACTTTTTTTTTAATTTCATTTTTGAGAGGCACACGTAGATTTAGAGAGAAGAAACAAAGTATATACTTAAAAGGGAGTGCAGGTGCTTATAGAGTAAGACTGCTATGCTCCTTTTGTATTTCATTTTCCTTACATGTTAGAATTGGTATACTTAAACCTGCAGAGTTGTTGGAGCGTTAAATGTAACAGGTATATAAAATGTATTAAATATAATAGGTATATAAAATGCATAGTGTTTAGGAATAGCATTAGCTATGACTGTTGGACAACCAGTATGCTATATTTTACAGTCTAGTTACTTGACATGCATGTAATAGGTTGTTTTGAAAAATTTTATGGCCCTAATGTATTTATATTGTTGAATTTGTTTTAGGTTGTAAAGATTGAGTAAGTGCTTGACAAAAGAATTTAAGGTTCTTGCGTCAGATTCTTGATGAGTGGGCTAAAGTTAGGTTTATAATATAGTCTGAGTTGGGAGCTAGTTTTGTGACTGTTGGATGTAAGGAGAAATATTTAGATTTCTTAAATTAGATTTGTGTTTTCCTAATATTGTTGTGACTCAAATTGTGTAATATTTTGCACTGTTGGTTAGAGTACAGGTTTTCAAAGCACAGTGTGTCTTTGGATTCCTGGGTTTTCTTTAGAGATTTACTAAATGCTCAAGTCTGAAAAATTGTGGTTTGTCACTCTTTCAGATAAAAACTATATTCTATGAGAAAAGCAACTGGCTCACAATTCAAACACACAAGTGCTTCTCCTTGAGATAATGGTTCATAGGCAACAGAATTTCAGTTTATATGTACTTCTCATTCTGAAGAACTGAATATTAAAAGAATGTGTACTCAGTATTGATGAGCTGTATTGATATTTGAAAGATTTGCATATTCATTTCAGTGACCACTGTACAATGTTGAAAATCCATTTAAAGTACAAGACAGATTACCTGTTTTTATTTTAACAGTATGAATAGTTCATTGGTGTGTGGTTTCAGATTTTCACATTTCAGAATTTTTAAGAACTCATCACTCAAAATACTTTTTCTTTTTCCAACTACCTGACTGTTGGAGAACAAATTTTTTGTGTGCTTTAACCAGAAGAGTAACATGAAACCTAGAGGTTGTGCTTGTAGTTTTGGAACCTTAACATTTGTAGGTATATAAAAATGAGTCATAAAGATTTTTAAGTAATTTACCTTAGGTCAGAGTAGTGGTTAGGCTAGGTTGTTACTAACTCTTGCTTTGCACATTGAAAATCTGGAGAGTTGATTTTTCCTGTTGGTCCCTAAAGAAGAAATTCCAAAGAAAATTGTCTTTGCAATCAAATTACTTCACTTGCATTTTCATTACATTGACTTTTTAGGTACACACGGACGCTTTCTAGATCATGCAGTGATTAATTAGATTTTAATGATTAAAAAGTGTGACTTACTCAAATTTGAACCCCCAGCCTCCACCGCAATGCCTATAATATGTAGTTGACATTTAGTAAATATTTAGCTGTACTGGTAGGTAACGAATGCTGATCTAGAATCTAACTGGACAAAATAATTTAATATTTTTTTAAATGGGATGTACTCTTTTGGGTGCAATAGAAGTTAAAAATAAAACCAAGACTAAAGTGAGTTTGTTATTTTAATTCACTACACTAAACTTCTTCAGGATCTCACTAGAATTTGAAGAATGTGCTCTAAATTTAACAGCTGGACAACCAGCACTATCCTAAAGAATTTGGGAGGGGGTGCTTTTTGAGACAAAGTTTTGATGTGTGTTCTAGGCTGGCCTTCAATTCACTATATATCCTGGGTTGGCCTCAAACTCATGGTTATCCTCCTACCTCAACCTTCTGAGGGCTGGGATTACAGGCATGTGCCACCATTCCTGGCTCCAAAGAGTTTCTACAGTGATGGAAATGTTCTGTGTCTGTGTTCTCCATTATGGTAGTCACTAGTCGTGTAGTTATTAGGCACTTAAAATATGATTAGAGAAACTGAGGGATTTCATTTTTATTTACTTTAGTTAATTTAAACTTAAATTAGCACACCTACTTGGTGGCTGACATACTAGGCCATGCAGGTTTGGACAACTTGCATAAAGCTGTAAAGGCGGTAGTGTGAATCAGATACCTGATGACAATGCATATAATTTTAAGGGCTTACTAGGAAAAGTGATGGTTAAAAAAATTCAGCCCATTTTTTGGGAGCTGTTTTTTCTTAAACTGCACAAGTCAACTTTAATGAGTGACCATGTATTAAAGGTAGCTCTGTCATATTTGCATGTACAGTGTTTTGGGTTGGTGAGTAGGTGGGGATTATAGTCTGAAATTCTCTTCAAGGTAAATATTAAATTCCTGATTTCTAGACTCTCAGATCTATCATATCAAAACAGCAAGTACCACAGGAAATACAAAAACATAACCTTTGTTTCTGTTAAAACAAAACGAGATGGGTTTCCTCAGTTGAAAGTAAATGTGAAAGTCAGGGTTTTTTTGAAATTCAGTTTTATCTACCCTTAATTGAGGTTTCTCTGCTTGGGCATTGTTGACATTTTGGACTGGGTAACTACCACAAGGGCTGTCTTACTCACTTTAACACATTAGCAGCATAACTAGGTTTTGCCCACTAGATGCCAGTAGTATCCTTCAGTTGTGACTAAAATGTCTCTAACCACAATCAAACTGCCCTAGGGGCAAGGTGCAAAATCATCCCCAGTCGAGAAGCGCTTCCAATTTACTATTCTAAATGTACTCTAATTATAAGTACATACTTGTAGTTAGGTGTATATAAGTACTTGCACCATAAATTGAATAATTTATTTTTTACTTGCTTTGCTCTTAGGGAAACCTTCTGTTGCCTTAACATTTCTGGGAAGCCCAAAAATGGAATTATTCATATGTTTTATTTTGGAACTAGATGTTTTATGAAAGCTGGTACTCCTTCAGAATTTCTAGCCTAACATATCGCCAGGAAGCAATAGGTTCACATTTTATACATCAGAAAGTAGCTTCACATTGTGCTTTGACGAGGACACTTAGCAAGTGGTAGAGATACAAATCTAGGTCTTTCATCTTCTATGTACTTCATAGTAAAAAGAAAGCTACTAGGTGCTCTGACACTAGCAGTATTAGTTCAGAGATTAGAAGCTTGGGTTAAAGCTGAGACTACAGTAAGGCAGGTGAGGTACCGAGTGCAAAATTCAAAGAACACAGCAACCTCTAAGGCTGAGTCAGATTACCTGGGTTATATTCTAGTTGTGCCTGCTTTTAGTTGTTGATCTTGATAAGTTACTTCTTCCTCAGTTTCTTTTTCTATAAAAAGAGTGATGATGTCTATTTTATAGAATTATTTTGTGAAAAGCAAGTCTGTGCATATAAAATACTTAGAAAGTACATGGAACTCAATAAATTTTAGTTACTGAAATATGTACTTAACATGTCTACAAATATACATCTTAATCATTTGGGGAATAGAATATGAATTTTGTCAGTTATAGACACCAAGGGAAAGATTGCAAAAGTAGGGCTGCAAGAAATAATAGTTACTTGGGGAAAAAGGGAGTATTGTAAAGATTAGGAAAGGGTGCTTCCTATTTTCTAAGCAAAACAAATAAATAACAATCCTGTATTCAGGTTGTCTTCCATGGTATCCCTGTGTAATACTATAGCATAGTGATTACTGTTGCCAAAACAGTGTTAACGTTTGTTAGCAACCAATAGTTAAAACATAACCTTTTTTTGTTTTTTTCCTTCAGTACTGAGAATTGAACCCAAGGCCTTTATCTGGAGCTGCCTCCCAGGCTTTTATTTTTATTTTGAGATAGGGCCTTGCTAAATTGCCTAGGTTGACCTCAAATTGCAATTCTCCCACCTCAGCCTCCCAAAGTGCTGGTATTACCAGCTAATTTTAGACATTTACAAATTTTTATTTATCAAAACATTCTACATTTCAGCTGTACCTGGTGGCATACACCTGTTTCCTTATCATGGCACATTTCCCGGAATATAACATACTTTAACCTTAAATTATATTCCTGTGATCTTCGGTCTTCTCTCACAGATCCCAAAACAAGGCAAAAATTAAAGTCACACAGCTTCAAAGTAAAGCAATCACTTACTACTTGTGCATTACAGACATTTCTATTTCTGCACGTACAACACTGAGTCCGCTTTAGTAAGTATGAACATCTTCAGGGCAGACTGTCTTATTTGGGATCTAATAAATGATGCGTGGCTGAAATTGGTGTTTAGAAAGGGAGAGAATATCTGGGGTGCTAGAGGCTGAGGATTTAGCTCAGCGGCACAGCGCCTGCCTGGCAAGCGCGAGGTCGTGAGTTCAATTCCCGGTACTGGGAAAAAAAAAAAATCTGGGGTGCTAGTTAACTGCAAATTTGGGGGTTTCTGCTCTAGAATGTCTGACTATAGGGATAGTAGAATGCAATCTAAGAATCTGCTTTCTAAATAAGTACAGTATTTATGTACAGTTTCATTTTTTTGAGGTTTCAGTTACATGTGGTCAGTTACATGTAAAAATATTCCAGAAATAACCATTTCATAAGTTTTATATTGTACATTATTTTGAGTAGCATGATTAAATCGCTCTCCTACCAGCCCCATACAAGCAGAGACTGTATTTTCTTTTGGAAGAAGAGATACATGTTTGGTGACAGAGTGAGAACCTTACTATATGTAATACATTAATGTGTTTTCTTTGACATGCAAGTGCCTATTTTAGTGATACGTTATGCTAGGAGCCCACTTCACAAAAATGAACCAGACAAATTTGAACTCTTAGAAAATAATGTTTTAGGCTAGGGATACAGCTCAGTGGCATAGTACCCGCCTGACCAATGCAAGGTCCTGAGTTTGATTCCTGATACCAAAAAAAATAGTGTTTTGGTAATACAAAAGGAAACTAGCTGTTTTTTAATCTGGTGTTTGCAGAGGCTTAGATTTATTAACTGAAAGAAAGTAATTGTATTCAGTTTTTTCCCTTTTTAAAAGGAAAATGCCCAACCAAGATAAATCATTTTGGACTCAGTAGCTAAACAAAGATTAACTGATTTCCTGACTTTTGGTGTAATGCTCCATTATGTAATTAAAACCTTTACTCTCAGTAATATTAGCTGACTTCTACTAATTATTGACTTTAGACTCTGATAGTATTTTTACATGGATATATAACTGAATTTTCACAACCAGCATGTATGGTTACTATCTCTGGAAGAACAGATTTCAGGCAAGATTAAATACAAGAATTCTTCTTTTAATGACCAAAGGGCTGCTGCCACCAGGTCTTTTAATGAATTGGTTGCTAAATGAGGAATTGTATATAGTATATACGTTATAATATTCAGAACAAAGAAATGGTCAAAGGAAACTCCAAGGTGATGACTTTGCTTTTATTTGTGTAACTCTTACATGCAGTACTATAATGTATAACAATGTAAAATTATAATGTACAGTATAATGCATAGTACAGTACAATCAGAAAAAAATCATAGTACTATATAAATAACATATACTGTATCATAAAAAGATACTGAAGCTCTAACAACAAGACATACACAGCTATACAAAAAAAAAGGTTGTAAGTCCAAGCAGCAGTCTGTAAGTCCGAATAGTCATTAAATAAGGAATATCTGTACTGGACCTCTTATGGGGACGGTTGCACTGGGAAAATTGTTTACTAGTTCATTAAGCTGTTAAACATGAACTAGATTTGTCATTAGCAAGTGGACATAAATCTAGAATGTTTGGAATGGGAAAGGATTGGGAGATTAATAAAAATTTCTGTATGGCAAGGACTTAAAGGGTCTACCAGAAGCCTTGGATGAGTGAGGCAGTATCTCAAGAGCAGACTCTGGAGCAGAGAAAAAAAGTATGTGTAGATTTGCATGCAAAATGACCAGATTGTTTCATTTGTATTTCAAACATTGTTTTCTGACATTGTTGAGTAATTTCTTACGGAGTTGAGGTTTTGGATTGAGCACTAAATCTGGTAGAGAGGAAATGTATTGGGGGAAGGATGAAATAGTTGCAGATATTTTCTTTTTCTCCTTTTTGTTCTTCACCAATTTCTTATCTATCCTACAGTGAAATGAGAAAATCCAAGCTGAGTTTCCCATACCTGAAATGCTTATTTTGGAGTTCAGAATTTTTCAGATTTTGGCATATTTATATGATGAAAGTCATTTGTTTCATGTACACCTTATATTCTTAGCTTCTGGGTAATTTTATACAATATTTTTGGTAATTTTGCACATGAAGCAAAATTTCATATTGTAGAATTTTCCAATTGTGGCATCATGTCAGCATCCCAAAAGTTACAGATTTTGGGGCATTTAATGTTTTGAATTTTTGGATTTGGAATGCTCAATATGTAAAAGTCGCTAAACCAAAAAGTTAAAAAAAAAAGGGCTGGGGATTTAGCTCAGCGGCACAGCGCCTGCCTGGCAAGTGTGAGGTCGTGAGTTCATTTCCCGGTACTGGAAGAAAAACTACAAAAAAAAACCAAACCAAAAAACAAAAAGTAAAAAAAGATGATTGTCAGTCTTTGCCAAAATGGGAAAAGGAGGGTGAATTTAAAAGGTGGGTGAATTTGGGAAAACCTGTAAGACCGTCAGGTAGTGCCGTTTCTTTTTCCTATGTAGGGTTAGACAGATGAAAAGTTGGGGCTTTTCTGATTTGGAGATTTCCTCTGTTGCCTGTTTCCCATTCTTCTAATTTAGGAAGAGGTGATTTTGTGTTCTTTATCTGTTATTTAAGAAGCAGAATATTTTGTATTAAGGAGACAATTGTATAAATTGCTTAATAATGATTTTGCTATTATAAAAGATCTTTGTTTACTGAGACAAGGTCTCGTTGTGTAGTCCAGGCTGTTCTTGAGCTCACTGTGTAGCCCAGGCTGGCCTCCCAAGTGCTGGGATTACACGAGTGCACCATCATGCCCAGCCAGAAGATAATCTTTGATTACCAGGAGTATCCTCATAAAACTGTTGAGTCACTGAGTTTCAAATAGTTACCTTTTTTCTCTTTAAAATAAAAAAAAAACTGTTCAGTAAGACTTGCCAATTAAAGAATTATTGTAGAAAATGCGTTGAAGATATAAAAAAAAAGAAAAAATTCTTTAGTATTCTAAAATGCAGATGAGATTTAATTCTTTGAAGATTTGTTTTCATTGTTTATACTTTCATAAGAATGATTGGTCTGGGTGTGGTGGCACAGGCCTATAATCCCAGCTCTCAGGAGCTTAGCAAGCCTGCTGCGTAATGAGACACTGCCTCAAAAAAGGAATTGATGGTTGATGGTATATTTTGTAGCTGTATCAGTTTTTATAATGGAAAAATTTAGTAACACATTATGGCTCATGTTTATAGTCCCAGCCTTCTGGAAGACTGAGGCAGGAAGATCAAAAATTCACACCCAGCCTGGGGAGTTTAGTGAGATCCTGTCTTAAGATAAAATGTACGAAAGGTTAAAGATGTAGCCCATTGTGAATGGGGTTAAGTTCAATCCCCATTTATACCTAGGAGGTGTGGGTGGAGGTGAACAGCTAGTAAAAATATATTTTGTCCCAATGTCCAGAGTTATGTAATCTTATTTCACTAACAGATCTTTAATGGTCTTTGTCTTAGCTATGGGAGAGTAAACTGATGCAGTCTAGGGCAGTAGATGGATTTCATTCAGAAGAACAGCAGCTTTTATTGCAAGTTCAGCAACAGCATCAACCCCAGCAGCAGCAACACCATCACCACCACCACCATCAGCAAACTCAACCTCAGCAGACAGTACCTCAACAAGCACAGACCCAGCAGGTTCTTATTCCTGCGTCACAGCAAGGTGAGACTGAATTTGTTTCCCTGGTTGAACCTGAAAGTTGGAGTTGTTTTTCTCAAAGAAGCAATATTCTCGGTTTCTTGAATCTTCTTTTTAAGAGGTGCTTGGTAAACAAAAGATTACACTGTTTTCATTCAAGAAGGCTATACAGTAATACCTGTTCAGGAATGCTTCTTTTTGCAAGTATTTCAGTCAGTTCTCAAGCAAATTGTGGGACAAAATTTTGCTTCCTTTTACAAATTCCACATTGGGTGACAAACACAACCATGCTGTCTTCCCTGCACAAACACAGCACACATGCAACCATCTTCTCCCAAATCATAAAACAAATTAAGTTTGTGAACTGAGGTACCACTGCATAGGGATGTATTTCCTAAAAAAGGTCAAAGCTGTGGAAGTTATTTGCTAGGGACTTCATTATTTTACTTGATAAAATAGTTACCTCCTTTCTTTATGATATGTATTCCTTCACAGACATGTTTAAGTTTAGTTTTTATCCATGTATCTTAAGCACTGGAGGAGTTTTATAAAATATATTACTTGGTTTAAAGTAAGAAAAAACCAAGTATTTACAGAGTATATCTGCAATACTTTGCAATGTGCAGGTCATTTTTTATTCTTTCAGTAGTACCTTACGATGGTTTTGTGAAGTAACTTTTAGCTCCATTTAACACCTGAGGATAATCTTGGCCTGAAAGGCTAAGAAGCTTGGTCCACTGCATGTAGCAAGTATTTTTCCCTATTGACCAACATCAGTTCAGTTACAAACTTTTCTGAGCATTCTAATTTAGTGAATTTAATTGTAATTGGAGAGGAGTGACGGTAAATGAAAAGTTTAAGGTAACCATGTAGTTAACATATTAGTCTCATCTGATAATATATGTAAGACAGAAAATTGATGGTAACATACAGTAGAAAATTCTGTTTGGGTTATTTTACTGTTTATATCAAAGACTTTCAATGCATTATTTTAAATCTGTACCTTATATTGAATCATTGTGTCCTTTTCATCTTTGATGACTGTTCCTCCTATTGCTTTGAGGCCTGGCAGTGGGATTTTAGGTCATCATAAATTAAAATTTGATTTTCTTCACTCAGAGAATATTAGGATAATGGAATTATCTGTCTATTCTCTGAAATTTGCGGAATCAAACAATTCTCTTTACATTTAAGTAACATTGCCATTATTTCTGAATTGTATTTTTAAACAGTTGAAAGAAACATGATTGTCGTCAGGTTGGAAGAAAAGGGCTATGTAAATTAAAAGAATAGTTTTAACTTCGTGAGCTTACTCTTAATAAATTAGCAACTCATTCTAACAGTGGTACATTAGAGTAGTTAAGTAAAAGTTAATACTGAATAAGGCAGGATTAATTATATTTGAAAATTCTAACTTGTTAAGAATGCACAGAAATGTATTTATTTAGATGTTGAATATCTTTAACTATTTCCTATTTCTCTATTTCTTTATATCCTTGCATTGTAATCTAAATTTTTTAAGTTAGTTTTTCATTATAGAGTCAGCATAATGCAACTGTTGTTTTCCATGGAAATGAAATGGTTAAGCTAGGCGTGGTGGTACATGCCTGTAATCCCAGCACTTGGGAGGCTGAGGCAGGAGGATCATTACATGTTTGAGATCAGCATGGGCTACAAAGTGAGCTCAAGGCCAGCCTGAACTGCATAGGGAGACCCTGTCCGCCTCCGACTCCAAAAAAAAAACAGAACAAAACCCCAAAACTCAAATGGTTAAGTGTTCTAATGTAGAAAATGTTAAAAACATGAAATCAGTGTAGATATCATTCATGTGATTATGAAATAGCCTCATGTTTCTTTGCTTGCATGTGTGCTTATTTTTTTTTTCTCTTAGCCACAGCACCACAAGTTATTGTTCCTGATTCTAAGCTGATACAACATATGAATGCCTCAAACATGGTAAGACATAGGACATAACACTTAGATTGCCTTCATTTATTCTAATACAAATTGTTGGTTTGCCTGGGTATATGGATATTAACAATTGAAGATTATTGAAGACTTGGACGAAATAGCTCCACCACTCCCCAATTTAAATTTCCTAAATATTGTCCTTAGCAGCAGTTCTAAAGTTTAACTTGGTACTTAGACATTAAGGTTGACTAAATGGTGCAGTTTTCTGTTAAAAAAAACCAAAAGAATGGTGCTTTGTGGTAGATGGTCCATCTGCTGTTTTTGAAAAAGAAGCTAAAGGAGACCAACCAAACTTATGCCACAGTTCCTCCCATATATTATGAACCTCATAAATCCAAACCTTGGCAGAATTGCAAATTTCTACATGATAGTAGAAATTGCAGTTTTTAAGTTCACAAATATCAGGAGCCTTTATTTGTATTTCCAGCTCTTCTGCATAAAGTTGTGGAATTCCAGGCTGCACAAGAACCTTTATGCAGAAAAATTGCATTTAATTCTAAGTTCTCAAAAATTTTTTTAACCCTCAGCCTTTAAAATTTTAAATGATTTAGGACATTTAATAGAAATTTGTTTCAGGAATAATAAAAATTAAAATGGAAGCAACAACACAAATTTACAGGCAGAAGCTTTAATTGAGAAGGAAAAGAAAATAGAGAAAAGACTTCCTCTTGAGAGGAATAGCTGAAAGTAACACAGGTCTGCCTGAGAAGATCAGACTGGGCTATTAACAGAAAAATGAGACTAGCTTTTATGGCTTTGCTGGGGCAGGCTAGGAGGTGGTAACTTCCACTTGGGTCCTTGTACAGCCTCGTGTTGTAGGAGATTTCCTCAGCAGCTGTTCTTACTGTTGGCGATATCTTGGGGTTCTCCCTGATGTTACAGTGCACTTAGTCCGTAGGCTATACCAGCAAGACATGAGACACAGTAGGGCCTGCAGGGCTACGTGTATGCCACCCAGAACCGTGGTGGAATCCTGCTTTGGACCTGTGGGATCTGATCTCGGGACAGTGAGGTTGAGTTGACTGAGTTGTAGTAAGAGTAGGGAATAAGGGAAGGGCAAATTCCGTGCATTGTTAGCAAAAGCGGATAGGGAAAGTGGTATCTTCACCTTTAGTGGGTAATAGGTCGTGGATTAAGGTCTGAGAATCACTATCATATCCCCTGAGAGTACCTGTCCCAATTCACTCACAGGTTCAAACTACAGTTTATGTTACTAAGGTAAGACTGTTTCCTATAGAAAAACTCAAAAGTCACTATAAACCAGATTTTGGTACTACGACCTAGAGTAGTCCCTCCTAATGTTGAAAATTTTAAATGTGTTGTGGGAGAGAAGTAAAAATTTATACTATGTTTAAATTTAAGAGACTTGGATAAAATCAGTATTTCATTTCTTACTAATTAGGTCTGTGGTTCTAAAGGGTATGTGGCGCTGGGTGTGGTGGTGCACGCCATTAACCCCAGTACTCAGGAGGCTGAGGCAGGAGGATTGCTACTAGTTAAAGGCCAGCTTAAACTGCACAGTGAGACCCTGTTTCAAAAACAACCAACCAACCAACCAACAAATAAATAAATGGCATGTGTCTTTAAACAAATCAATGTCAGAAAATAGATTAGCGTTTACATATATTTTAGCATTCTATGTATTTTTAGTCAGTGCTTCCTCTGTGAATTTTACGTATTCTGAAATTAATCAGTAAAGGCACTTTACCAAGAAAAGTATTTGGATTTTTGTTGGATTTTTGTCAGTTTATGTTATTATTCCCAATTTATAGATATTCAGTAAAAATACTTCTGACTTTCCTAATGGCTTATTGAAAAATTAAGTAATTTCATGAAAATGTAAGATAATGGGAGTATAATATTTAGCAGAAGGCTATTTGGGAGAGTGAGAGCAAACCACTTGCAGGTTCTTGTTTTGAAACGATCTATCAAATGCATTATGTTTGAGCATAACACATTTGTATTTCATAAAATATAAGAAGAAAATTTATGTATGCTATACAGACACTACCATGTTAGTTTATTTTTAGAGATCTGTTATCTTTAAAGTATGAATTATAGGCATTTAATATTTGTAAATAATATTTTTCACAAGTAAGTGATTGTTTAATATGTTAAACATACTAAATTCAGATTACCTTCTTCTGCTTATATAGATATATTTTGAATTGTGTGGTTGGTTATCTAACTTATAGATGGATGAACCTGTTGGAATTTGAGACTCAAGATACAGAAATTACTTAAGCTGATCAAGTGGCAACAACAAATTTGTTTTCTGTAGTTTTTTTGAGACAAGGTCTTGCTATGTAGTCCAGGCTGGTCTTGAACTTGCTGTAATTTATGCTGGCCTCCAATTTATGGCAATCCTCCTGCCTCAGCTTCCTGAGTGCTGGGATTATAGGCATGTACCACCATGCCTGACCAGATTTGTTTCCTTGAAAGCTGTATTTAGATAATAGTTGTATCATTAACCCAGTTTAATACAGTTTTCTAAGTTGTGTTGACTTCTCTGACATTAGTATCTCCAAAATGTGTATATATTTATTTGTCTAAGTTTATCCAATTATGAATGCTTCTAAAATGTACAGATTAAATTTACTGTACAGAGCGTTGGTACTTTTAAGAAGAAAGAAGGGGGAGGGAGAAAAAGACATAGTTAATGGTGAGATAAATGAAATATGTAAAGTACAGAATAAAGAAATAGTGATGTAATTCTTCTAAGGGAAGGTAAGAGGAAAAATGAAGTTTTCAGAAACAGTCAAGAATTTATTTTTGGATTTAAAGAAATTTAGAATATAGTCCCAAATACCCTGAGTATGTGTGTATTGTGTGTATGTGTGTGTATGAAATGTAATTGTTCAGCTGCGTTTTAAGATACAGAAATTTAAAAATTAATGACTTTTCTAAGTATTTTAAGGTTTTTTAAATTTATTAATATAGATTGAGCATCTCTAATTTGAAAGTGTGAAATCCAGCCAGGTGTCATGGCACATACCTGTAATCTAGCACTCTGGGAGGTTCGATAGGAGAATCACAAGTTCAAGCCCAGTTTGGCAGTATAGCTCAGTAGTGGAGGTCTTGGGTTCAATCGCCAATACCGCAAGGTGGGGAAAAAAAAGACAAGAAAGTATGAAATCCAGAGTGTTCCAGAATTAGAGCACTGAAATGATGCAAGTGGAAAATTCTATACTTGACTTTATATAAGAATTGCAACTAAAGCTCAGGTCTCACTGAGAATGTATAAAATTAGCTTCAGGCTATATGTGTAAAGGTGTATATGAAACATAAGTTAATTCCATGGGTCCTATCCCCACGGACATGGACATATGAACATAAAAATGCAGAACACTTCTGGTTCTAAGGACATATGAACATAAAAATGCAGAATATGTCCCCCAAGGACATACGAACATAAAAATGCAGAACACTTCTGGTTCTAAGCATTTTGGGTAAAGAATGCTCAGTGTGTATAGATTTCACCTAGACTATGATGCCAATATATTCCTTTTTTCCTTTTGGATAATACAGCATCTTAGAAGGGTAGGATTGCCAGCTGTACTCTTCAGATACAGTGTTTTCAATGGAGATCTGTTGATTCTAGTAGAAATTTTAAAAATTAAGAAACGAAGATACAACACTTATAATTTTGCCTAAAGTGTATTCATGAAAGAAATTGAGTTTAAGGATGCAAAGAAGGGAAAAGGAAGCAATAATGGTAGTTATGTATTGTCTCTTGTTAGTGTGGGTGTGTCTAAGGATATACAGTTTAGAGTGAGCATATGAAGGCCTTAAAATTGAAGAGGGAGATTAAAAATATTATGTTTGCGATTTCCTTAGAGTATGTGTTTTAGGGGGAAAAATGCAAATAAATAATTATATTGCTTCTTAAAATACAGTAATCAGGTTATTTAGGCTAGATTGTCATATATTATTTAATAACATGAGATTTAGACTTACTGTTAGAACTTTTCATTTTAGTATGTGCTAAACAAAAAATTTCATATGCCAAGTAAAACGTTAGAGGTACACTGAGATACTTTTATGTACATGTGTGATTTTTATATTTTTCCTTTGTTTTTATATTTTCAGAGTGCTGCTGCCACAGCTGCTACCTTGGCACTACCTGCAGGTGTGACTCCTGTTCAACAGATATTAACAAATTCGGGTAAATAGAAATAAGGAGTGAAACCATTTCAGAAAATTGCATCCAAACTTCTTTGATTTATATTTCTTTTACCATTTGCCTTAGGTTATTAAAGTAACTTCGAGGGCTATCCTACATGGTGCCATAATTATTCTTGAGAAGATGAAAATTGTTTTTGAGAAGTACCCTGTAATCTATTCTCATTGTTTTATTTTTTTGTTATTTGGTTAATTTCTAAATTCATAAAGAACAAATTAGGGACTCTTCTTGCTACATATTTTATTAGCATAATTTATTTACTAGTTAATTCAAAATTCTGGGTAATTTAGAACACCCTATTTGTGAGATATCTGGTTCTTTGTATATAAACTGGTCATACAGTTAATATTATGTGGCACTGATGATTAGTTCAGCAAACTTCTATTACATTTTGCAGTTTTGAAGCTAATGAACTACACATTTGTTTTTAAAGTCTCTATAATCTGTTCTGGGGTTTTTGTTTGTTTTCTTTGAGACAGAATCTTGCTATGTAGTCCAGGCTGGCCTGGAACTCAGGGTGATCTTCCCTCCTTAGCCTCCTAGAGGCTGAAATTACAGGTGTGTGCTCCTACACCCAGCCTATAATCTGTTGTTAAATCCTTATTGCAGGAGAATAATACTGTGTATATGGAAAAATAAAACATAAGCAAAGCATTTGAACATGCAGGGAAGGTAGGGAAGATAATGATTATAATTACATGTATAAGTGATGGCCCTCAATAAGATTTTTTAGACTTCTGCCTTAATAATTTGTGAGTTCTTTGGTGGTTTGACATTCTATATTATTTTGAGATGGTTACTGCTATAATGGTAACTTAGAATATATGCTTCTTTTTGCTTTAGGCCAGCTTCTTCAGGTGGTCAGAGCAGCCAATGGTGCCCAGTATATCTTTCAGCCTCAGCAGTCAGTGGTTCTACAACAACAGGTTATACCACAAATGCAGCCTGCGGGTGTACAAGCTCCTGTTATACAACAGGTAAAAGAACTTTAGTTGTGAACCCCATAGGATTCATTTTTCATCTTCTGTATGGGCTACTTAGGTGATTCATCCCTTTTTCTCCATTGTTTTATATATACAAATTTTTAGACTCTCCTCTAGTATATTCCAGACCCTGTTGTTTTAAATTTCCTCTATGTGTCTTGCAGTTTAATTTGTGGTCAGCCTGTTTAATTCAAACTGAATTACTGTTGTCTAGTTATTCCTTGTCATTGTCCTGCATTTGCTTCTCTGTCAGGACCACGCCTCTGCGTTCAGCCTGCTAACCTAGTCATTTCTCTTTCATTCAACAAGTAGTTACTGGGTCTCAGGTCTTCCCAAAGGGTGGGAAGGCAGGCATGACTGGTTTGATGATGCTTACGTATTTTCTGGAAGAGGAAAGGGGAGTTTTCCCTTGATCTCCCATAACCAAGGTATCAGTAGTACTGCCATTTCTTTTTAGTAGTTTTTCTTTTTTTTTCTTTGAAATTTTGCCTGTTTGCAGTCTTTCTTATATTTGAAACTAGTTTTCACAATCTAGTTTTTTAGTTTATGCTCTCGTGATTTATTATTAAAAATACTGTATTATCCTCTTAAGAAATTTCTCTGCTGTTAGGCTTCTGTCCTCCTAACCTGACTGGGTTTACAAGCTGGTTTACAGTCTTCATAGAGATGTTAAAACTTTTTAATGACTTTTTAATGACTTTACATTGCCTGCTGGAAAAAGTCCAAACTTTTCAACATGGCTTACAATATTTAAAAAGGAAAAAGATGGGGGTCTTGTTTCTTGAACTCTCCAAGTTTATCTCTAGCCATGCCCCCAGTTACTGCTTTAGCTGCAGTTTAAAGTTTACAGATACTTGTACTGTACTTATATACCAAGTGTTATACTATTGTACAGCAAGAACAAAGATGAAAGAGATGTGGTTGTTTCTTACAGAACCTAGGTACTTTGAAAAAAATCACACAAACACATAATTTTAATGTAATAGTAGTATGATGGTAGAGCCAAGATTAGAAAACAGGACTGTTGATTCAACCTAATTGCAACTTTCCAAAACTCGTGCTGTTGCCACTTCTGGGTTTCACTTGACATTACTCTTTTATTCAGTAAACTGCCTTTGGCCTTTTGTCTAGCACCTCCTTCCATTCCCTCCAGATAAACCCAACAGAAAAGCATGACTAATTTCCTTAAAGCACAAATAGAAATTAAAGTATTACTTACTAGGAAGATAATGTTGATGATCCTTGTCCTCCAAGCTCAAATTGGTGCCCTCTTCTATATTTTCAAAACAGCCTGTCTTGCAGGTTGTTTCCTTTCTCTGAAATGTATAGGATCAGGGGAGTTTGAGATTTTGGAGATTTTTAGATCTTGCAATATTTGTGTAGGTTATCAGTTGAGCATCTTTAAACTGAGTATCTAAAATGGTATGAAATAAAAACTTTTCAATTAGAGATTCTAATACCTATTATCTATTATAGTATCTTTTTTTTTTTTTTAAGATGTTTTTGTTTTATTTGTCTTGCATAGTCAGTCTGTAGTTTTCTTTCTTTCTTTTGGGTACGAGGAATCTAACTCAGGATCTTGCACTTGCCAGGCAGGCGCTTATGCTGCTGAGCTATATCTCCAGCCCTAGTCTGTAATTTTCTTAAAGGCAATACCTTGAACCTAATGACAGTAACAGACACTCAATGCTTTAAATTTTTAGTAACTATAAATGTGTTAGTTTTAATCCATATAGTTAATATTTGTTGATGTATTCAGGTTGTAGTTTAGTTTAGAATCTTAGAATGCAGAACTTGGGAGGTTGCCGGGCATAGTGGTACACTCTTGTAATTCAGCACTCAGGAGCCTGAGGTGTGAGGATCGATGTGAGTTTGGGGCCAGCCTGGGCTATGTAAGTGAGTTTAAAGCCAGCCTATACTACATATTAAGGCCTTGCCGCAAAAGAAAACAAAAGGGAAGGGGCTGGAAGGAACTTTTTTTTTAAAAAGTAGAGTAGGAAAATTTATTGGAGAAAAGAAATAGGAAATAGGATAGCTCCTGAAAGAGAAGAGAGATCCCAAATGGGTTGCCAGGAAGAAACTTTAGAAGTGTTACTGTTAGTTTTTGGCTATGGTTGGATGATAGAATAATCTAGAGTTTTAAGTAAGATTAATAGTTTTTATCTCACATCAATTAAATCAGAATATTAAATTATGGAGCCTATGTTCTAGTACTTTCTAAGCTATTAGCCAGTTCTAATTTGCTGCCAATGTTGAGAACCATTGATCCTAGACTAGCAGTGAAATGACAAGCTTAGAGAGATTGGATGACTCACTTCTGCTTTGCCTGTATCTGATCTTACACAAAATCCGATCCAAATCTTCAAATTTTCATTCCACTTTTCTTCCTGTTGAGGCAGTAGAGTTTAATTAGCATAAGCAAAGCTCTGGACTACGAAGTTTAGGTTCATATTCTTTCCTCTTAGTGACAGGCTTTGCAAGTAACCTTTGTATATCTCAAGCAAATAAGCTAATGACTTGTATAACTCTTGACCTATACAAGAATGTCTGACACATACACAGTAAGTGCTGAATGAAACAATTAGCTTTAGATAATCTTTTTCTGTGAGAGATTTAATGATAAAATGGGAATTTAGTGGGTCAGAACACTAAACATTGCTTTGCACTTTAGTTGTTTAAACTGTGTATGAGATAACAGCTACTTCTTATGATTCTTTAACATTTGGGCCAGTTTTGTATTTGATTCTCTAACCAGTTCCTCATATGTAATTTCTTTTGCCTTAGGTTTTAGCCCCTCTTCCTGGAGGAATTTCACCACAGACAGGCGTCATCATCCAGCCTCAGCAAATCTTATTTACAGGAAATAAGACTCAAGTTATACCTACCACAGTGGCAACACCTACGCCAGCACAGGCACAGATAACTGCAGCTGGTCAGCAGCAACCACAGGCACAGCCCACCCAGCAGCAGGCCCCTTTGGTCTTACAAGTTGATGGAACTGGAGATACATCATCTGAGGAAGATGAAGATGAAGAAGAAGACTATGATGATGATGAAGAAGAAGAAAAAGAGAAAGACGGAGCTGAAGATGGGCAGGTGGAAGAAGTAAGTTTCTAGAAAATACTTGAAAAGAGAATTACTCAGTCGCTTACTGTTTTATTTGGTTCTGAGGTGATGATTACTTTTTTTTTTAGGCTATAAGGTGCTACGCCAAATAAAATTTTAAAATATAAAACTAGATTGCCCTAACTTTAGTGTTTAGATTTTTCTGGCTATATTTATATTCATAAAACAATTGTTTCATGTACCTGGTAATGTATATATGCCAAATTAAATTTTATTAGTAAAGTTAATGGAGATTGGAAGTAATTCTGATTCTCAGGCTCCTAGATTTGAATGTGATTTAAACATAAGATATTGGTAGAACAGATAGATGTGGTTATTTACTTTAGTAATTAAACAACCATGGAAACATTTTGAGGGAGAAGAAACTCAGGAAAAACTAAAGGCAATAGTTTTACTCAAAACGTTTTGGGCCTGGCTCCATATTCCATACTAGTTTAGTTTTCATTGTTAATTGCTTTCCTTAGCATGATACAATCTTTTGATCTTGTCATAAAGTTCTTCTAAAGTAAGTATTTTTTAAAAAGTTTATTGTTAAATATTGAATAGATACAGATGGGCAATAGGGTTGTTTCTAACTCTTTACTCTTGGAAACAGTTTCATGGATATTAAATCTTTTGTATTGTCAGAGCCACATTAAATAAAGAGAACTGCCTTGTGCCACATATAAAATCCATAATGCAGTAACTATATATAAGCAACAAAACTTCCCATTTATTTATTTATTTATTTGGCAGTATAAGTGAATTTTTATTGGAAAGGGAAGTTGTCAACTTAAACAGCAGCAAATGAAGTGAATAAGGAAACTTCTGTTGTCACAGAGAGGTGTGACCTCCATCAGACTGGATTCAGGAGGCTTTTCAAGTTGTGATCCCCAGCCCAGAGACACCAAGTGCTTTCCCATTCAGTCTAATACTTCTAGATTCCTACCGAAAAGGAGCACAGCAGGAGGATGGGAAAGTTGCTCACTGAAAGGAAATTCCAAAGAAGAGAAAGGGAGGGAATGTCGAAATTAAGGTTATGTAGAACACTTCAAATTGTAATTAATTACATTGTCATCATATCTCCACAGTAATACAAAACACAGTCACTGCAGAATTACTTAACTACCAGATATATTTTTAGTCTTCTATGTAAGTGTTGGAAGCTGCTTATGTTTATATGAAATGAAGCTGTTAATACTTTCCTATAGCAGTAACTGCACATCAGGAGGGCCATTTTAAATAGGGCAACAGGAACATAAAACAAGAGGGATATTTGACTTTGTTTTCATAAAACTACTGCATCATTGTCTGGTTTGATGGAAATGATTGCAATCTTAGTTCTCAAGGCACTGTTCAGAAACATTTGATCTAATTTTACTTGTCATATGCTTCATCTTTGAAAATAGACTTTTGCAAATGTATTTGCTGCCTAAAAAGCAATGGCATGCATAGAGTGTGATTGTGAAGTGAGGAGTGTTTTTCTGTAGTCTAATAGGTCTTAATGAAAGTCTAGTAAAAAGACATGATCATATTTTTCTCAGAGTTCAACTCTGAGATTGGAACTCTCTCCATTCCATTTGAAATTTTGCAGGGAATATATTTATGTCCACTGAAACTGAGAGACTTTTTCAGACTTGAAACCTGCTGACAAAATGAATCAAAACACAGAGCAAGGTTGCAGTACTCAAAACTGTTTAATGTATCAAAATGCATAAAATTATTTGCCATAACTTGAGCTTGTCATATGGTAATATAGTACACATATGTTGATTTTTTACCTTGAAGATGGCTGTCTAGTGCTTTTATTTTTTATTTTTTTAATAGTACTTTTAAATGAGTGATGAAATCTACCAAAAGTGCTAAATCCTATGAGCCATTGTTCATCCTCAAGTTCTGGCATAAATTTTTCTTTTTTTTTTTTTTTTTTTTTGGTTTTTCTCCGGTACCGGGAACCGAACTCACGACCTTGCACTTGCCAGGCAGGCGTAAATTTTTCTTTTGATTCTATAAATGACTTGATTTCATTATGCAGTCTTTTCATCATGTTACTCCAGCTTAGCCACTTTTCTTTAGAAAAATAAATGATGGCCCCAAAGTCAAGGTCCATATTGAAGAATTGGTATTGATTCCATCCCCTGGCTTAGGAAACTCACAGCTGTGACAATTTGAATGACATCCACTTTAAAAATAGTTGCACGTACATTTGTTTTGGTGTATGATGTAGTGATAGCACATCAGCTCTGGAGTTGCATGTGCCAATTCATTTATGTCCAATTTTTGCCGACCATCAGCAGGGAACTGACAGTAGCTATAACAGGTATGTTGATAAAGGTTAAAGAAAATTGCTTTAATCTAATTTTTACTGCTTCCTGCAAGCCAAGAGACTTTAGTTTTGTCTTTTAATGGCACCAAAAAAGCCATTTCTTTGGTGACATTATTTTTGTTATCAGTACCTTTCATAAAAGTGGCAAGTTGAATTATATCTCAAGTATCATTACTTTCATCTGTTGTCAAAGCATAAAATATGAAATTTGTAGCTTTACTCCCCAAATCTCTTGATTTATTGTCCTGTTTCTTCAGTTCACCTGGCTAGGGTCTGGTGAGACAAAGTGATTTGAGAAAAATCTGTGTTTTTATCAGGACAGCGTATAGCTACACATTTTGTTTTTTGAGACAGGGTCTCACGCTCTAGTTTAGACTGGCCTTGAGCTCACTGTGTAGTCCAGACTCGCTCGAGTTTGTGGCTGCCCTCCTGATTCGGCCTCTTGAGTGCTGGGATTACAGGCAGGCGCAGTCATACTCAGCATGTATGTGCGTACTTTCTGAATATTGTTTAATGAACATATGCTCTGTAAACAGTTTTGAGTTTTTTTGCAATTAGATTTGCTGCTTTTATAATCGAATCCATTAAACATTCCTCTGTATAAATTGAATTTGGCAGCATAATTTTGCATGTAATGTCTTTTTAGATTGTAATCTTTGAAAATTGATAAATTTTTCTACAAATTAAGTAGTGTCTTTATTACAACAGAAATATTCATATGTCCATTTTTCATTGAACACTTCCTTTATCTGTTTGAGTTAATTTAAATTTTTATTATTACTTATTTGCGCTATATAGTGATTACATTTATTGTGGGGAAATTATACTTTAAATTATTCATACTTTGGGTTTCTCATGTAAGACACTTGCATGTCTGATTTGTTTCACTTAATATTATTGTCTCATGATGTGTCCATTTTCCTACAAATAACTCAAGTTTGTCCTTCTTTATGGCAGAGTAGTACTCAGTACCCTTTTGGGTATAAATACATTTTCTTTACTAGTTCCTTTACTGATGGACATATAGGCCACTTCCTTGATTTAGCTGTTGTGAGTTGTGTGTTATAAACATAGATATGCATTATCACTATAATATGACATCTTTAACTCTTTCAGAAAAATATGTAGAAGGAAAATAGCTTGGTCAAATGGAAGTTCTAGTTTTAACTTCTTAAGGAAGCTCTGTACTGATTTCCATAGTGGTTACATTCGCACCGACAATGGAGAAAGGCTCGTTTTCCCCTAAAGCCTTACTAGCATTTATTATTTGATTTTTTGATGATAGCCATTGTTTCTGGGATAAAATGGAATCTAAGTGCTGTTCAGATTTGCATCTCAATGGCCATGGATGTTGAACAGTTTTTCTTTTTTTTGAAGCTTTTTTTTTTTTTTTTGTCTTTTTGAGACAGGGTCTCAGTATGCAGTTCAGACTGGCCTTGAGCTCACTTTGTAGCTCAGGCTGGTCTTGAAGTCTTAACAATCCTCCTGCCTCAGCCTCCCAAGTGCTGGGATTACAGGCATGCGCCACCATGCCTGACTCTCAGTTGCTCATCTTTGAGTGGATCTATTATTTTGATTATTGTTTGATTCTTGGAATTGTTCATTTTTTCCTTGACTTCTGTGACTCATTGAGTATTCCAGAGTGTGTTATTTAATGTTTAGGTGTTTATAAAATTTCTGTGGTTTCTTTTGTGATTGATTTCTTGTTTTAATGCATTATGATATGATGGTATACATGGAGTAATTTCAGTTCTTTTGTATTTCCTTAAGCAGGACTTATGGACTAGGATGTGGTCTGTTTTGGAGAAACTTCCTTATGCTGCTGAGAATTCTGTGTAGAATTCTGCTATTCTGTTGTAGTTAGGTAAAACAGTGGATATTTATTAAGTTTGTTCAACAGTGAGGTTCAACTCTGATATTTCTTTGTTTTGATCTGTTTACTTATTTTTGTAGGCACTGAGTTTGTTCACTATCATTGTGTTGTTATTTGCTTGATCTTTTCAAATTCAATAATTTGATCTGTAAATTTCTTTTTGGATTAGATGTACTTCCTGAGTGTGTTGGTCTTTGTTTTCTGATCCAGTTTTTCAGTTTGTATGTTTTAATTGGGAATTCAGGTCATTTACATTGAGAATTACTACTGATTTGTGTTGTTGATTGCTTTATCTTTTCCTTCTTGCTTAACTATTTACCTTGCTTGATACATTCATTCTGTCTGACTTTTTGGCTTTGTTTTCTTTGTTGTTTGTGTCTAGGATATTCTTGGGTATATTCTAGAATGCTGGTTTGGTGTTCATGAATTACTTAGGTGTTTTTTTGTCATGGAATGTCATAACTTCATCAATTTTGAAGTAGTTTTGCAGATTCTGTACATTATACTGAGTTGGAAGTTTTCTTTTAGGACTTAAAACACTTTACTCAAAGCTTTCCTAGCCTTTAGTGTTTTTTGTTGAAAAGTCTGATGTAATCCCTATGGGTTTACTTCTGTAAGTGATGTTTTACTTTTCTATGACAGTTTTTAAAACAGTTTTTTCTGTTCTTGTATTTGACTTCAGAGATTTTGAATATGTTGTATCATGGGTTTTTTTTCATTGTAGTTGTTTGGCATTGTGTAAACCTGGCTAACCTGTATGTTTGGCTCCTTTCCCAGGTTTGAAAAGTTTTCTACTGTCTGTAAACAGATTTTTTATTCCATTTGTGTTCTCTGATTTCTTTCTAATTCCCATTAGCCTTATTTTTTTCAATTAGTATAGTTTTAGCACCTAATAATTACATTTATCATGGGGAGTTGTTGCATATACATAGCACATCTCAATTCTTTTTATTGCCTACCCCTCTCCTTCCTCTGTGCTCCTTCCAACTCTTGGTCCCCTTCCCATTTGCAAAAACTGTGTTTTCATTTTTTCCCTTCAGTTTTTTTCTGTCCTCTTACCTCCCATCGATCCATCTTTTGTCCCCTTCTCATTTGAGAAAGATCTCTCTACTTTGTATTATCTGTCTCTTTATTTTGCTCTTTATTCATACAGTGGTACTGTGATTCACAAATGTTTTTGTTTGCAAGCTCTCCATCAGGTGACAAACACAACTGCAGCCATATTTCCTACATAACCACAAACGTGACCGTCTTTTCAAAATTGTAGAACAAATTAAGTTTGTGAACTGAAATTACATGGGTTTCTCATATAGGAGAAATTGTGCAGTATTTAAATTTGTGTTTTCACTTAATGTATGGTCCCAAGGTATATAAATATATATCTGTAGTAAATAAAAGTTGGTGAGGGTGTGGAGAAAATAGAACCCTTGTGTTTGCCTGGTGGTAATGTAAAATTGTGTGGCTTCTGGGGAAAAGAGTTTGGCCCCAGCATTTCTACCCGAGTATATACATAAGAGAATTGAGAACAAGTATTCAAACAAAAACTTGTACATGAGTGTTTATAGTAGCAGTATTAATGTTAACCAAATGATGAAAAGAACACAAATATCTATCACCTGATGAATGATCAAATATGGTATTCGTATGTTGGAATATTTTTAAGCCATAAAGAATGAAGTAGTGATACCTGCTACCACATGGCTGTGTCTTGAAAACAGAATGAGAGAAACCAAATATAAAAGACCACCTACTGCACTTTGAGGGGGTAAGGCAGGAGTGAGCATAAGTGAAAGCCCAGCATGGGCAACTTAATGACTTGGAGAAACCTTGTATCATAAGTTTTAAAGAGGGCTGGATATGTAGCTCATTGAGAAAGCTCCGCATTTAATCTTGAGTACACCCACCACAAAAAACAAAACAGAAACCCATATTTTATCTGATTCCATTTTTATGAAATGTCTAGAATAGGTTACAGAAAGCAGAGTGGTAATTGCTAAGGATGAGAGGGAATAGAATGACTGTTTAATTGGTAAAGGTGATGAAATGTTCTGGAACTGGGTAGTAGTGATGGCTACATTACAGATGTTCTTGGTGCAACTGAACTGTACACTTTAAATGATAAATCTCACTTCTCATACGTTGGTGATACTGATGTTAAAGTGCGTGTCCCTGGACACTTGTGTGTGAGTAGCCATAGACCCAGTCTTACCATCCTCGCATTGTCCTTTCTACTTCTGTTTTGCCTATCTTCCTTTTCTCCATTTATTAGATATCTGAATTAAATCTTTTATCTCCTGCTGCACCTGAAGTATAATTTGACATAGTTGTTCATTTTATGCTCTAGTTGGATGTATTTGGACCCTTTGTTCTTTTTAGTACTGAGATTTTTCCAACCCTTAAAAGAGTAGAATCTTAATTTACACTTCATGCCTCCAACCATAATGATGATCATGGTGGACAGTGCTTATTTGTATCCAGAGGCCTGGTTGTTGAAGTCCCAAACCAGGCTGCTAACTAGTCTGTCCTCCCGTCCTCGTTTCACCAGATTTTACTTTAATACTGTTGCTGGTGTGTATTACCTCATTAAACCTTCCATATTTAAACTTTCAATTACATTTAATTTCTTACTGAAATCTGATTAACATTAGAAAATAATCATTAGATAACAGCTGATTAATACTGTACTGCCTCTGTGGTACATAAAAATGTGCATTTGACACTTGGTTCTCGAAGAACATCAAGGTCATTGTCTCTCTTCTTCAAATATTAGAAGGTACTTTTAATAGCAACAAAGGAAATTTATTTATAAATTTTTTTCTTACTCATAGGAGCCCCTCAATAGTGAAGATGATGTGAGTGATGAGGAAGGGCAGGAGCTCTTTGACACGGAAAATGTTGTTGTGTGCCAGTATGATAAGGTAAGGGTGTCAGATCAGCTGTTACTATTTTTGGTGTAATTTCTTTTCTAAACTCTGGTTTCTGCCCCACTGAAACATTTGGGCTACTGATTAATGACTCTTATTCTTTATAAACAATGTGAAAATGTTACTTTATCATCGATTATTTTTAACAGTGAATAAAACTAATTTCATTTTATACTTAAAAAATAATAATTTTTTTCAAATTAGAATATCTCAACTTGTAAACAAAGCTAGCTAGCTATTGATTGATTGATTGATTGATTGATTGTCTTTTTGAGACAAGGTCTCACTATGCAGTTTGGGCTGGCCTTGAGCTCATTTTGTAGCCCAGACTGGTCTCGAACTTGAAACAATCCTCCTGCCTCAGCCTCCTGAGTGCTGAGATTACAGGCGTGTGCCACTACACCTGGCTAACAAAGCTATTTAGAGTTTGTCCTTTAACAGTAAATATTTTAATAACATAATCTTGTTTTTCATTAGCTTAACAATCTCACAGCTAAAAGGATTTAATTAAAATCTCTGACTTATATTTATTACTAAGAAGTGGAGTAGGGCAGTAAACAGGACTACCAAAAATGGAGTTTTACTGAGAATTATTTAAAAATGTTATATAGCTTTGATGTAATCTTGCAATAATAAGGAAATTTTAAACTAAATTCCATAACAATTAACTGTTGATTCTTTATGTTCTTAATTCTTAAACAGGATGCTTTTTCCAAGGATTTTGTTATAGCTATTCATGTTATTACTGAGATTTTCATAATCAAGACATTTAAATTGGAATAAAATTAATTTTCTTCTGTAGTTAGAGATTTCTAATATTTATAATTTAATTTCAATAGAGATCTCTACCAGATGCTGAAACTCCTAACAGAAATAATTGGATTTTTTTTTTGGTAACCATTCATTCAGTTTGTTTAACCAGTAATTATTGAATACCTACAAGTAGTAAACATTATACTGCGTAGTGGAGATATAGTCATGAACATGTAAATTTTGTGTACTGGTGAAATTTCCTTTACAAATAGAAAAACCTTAAATTGGGTTTGCTTTTTTAGAAATGAGTGTGGTAAGTAGCTCTGCTTATTATAAACAGACCAGTAGGGAGAATAGTACAACAGTGGATCTTATTTTCTAATCAAAAGATAATATCCCGGGAGTTAGCTACCAGTGATCTTTATAGAAAAATTGAGGGGTTATTGAGAGTTTCAGTGCATCTGCTTTGTGTGTTATAATTTCTAGTTGAATGACTTTATACCACAAACATTATAACAAATTAATTTCCTGAGATGCACGTACAGAGAAAGAGTAATGAGGTTAAAACAGCGGGCACCAATAAACCTTTTTTGGTGAGGAAGTCTCAAGGGAACTGATTTTAACTAAATTATCCAAAACATAGTTTCGTAATAACAAAATGTAAGATTTAGTAAGCAGAAGAAGATCTTTATCTTAGACTGATTAAAGAATTTAGTTTTGAAGCCTAAACTCTAAAATTTCAATGAGTAAGTTGTTGAGGAGGAAATAGAAGGAACGGCAAGATCTATAATGCCAGTCGAAGCAATCTTAGTTATTAAACGGTAATAATGTGGTAGAGCTCTGAAGTGTAGCTAGATGATGATTGTTCTAACATTTGATGAAAATGACATACAGTGTAGAGGCTTCAGCTTTCTTTATAGCTAATTTTACTTTAATAAGTTCTCACTGAAAAATTTAAGGGGCCTTTCTCTTAGCATTTGGGATATTCCTTCATGAAGGACTTATGCTAGTAAATGAATTACTTTTCAAATTGTACTTTGTACTTTTGTTCAAATAAGAATATTTACCATCTGTTGCCTAAAATGGCTTCAGTTCTGAGTACATGGACTGCGTTTGAGCTATGAAACTGTTTTACATTTGAACAAGTTGCCCTTTGGTAAAATGAAGTCGGTTCCCTTACTTTTCTGGGAATTCCTATTTCCTGGACATTCATCTCTTAATTTGTCTATGTAATTCAGGTTTCATTGACTTGGTTCATGCTGGAAATATATTTATTTATGTATCCATATTTAGGATAATTATACTCTATAGGGAATTTTTTAAAGAGGGAGACAGGTCTTTTCATTTAGCAAATGGTTACTGAGTTCCTGTGATGTCACAAGAGCTTCAGATACACTAGTGAGCAAAATGGAAGTTCCTTGTCTTTGGCAAGCTTACTCCAGTGTAGGTAGACAGATGCTAAAATGATTAATTTATTAATATGCCATAGTACAAGTTGATACTTGCTATAGAAAAATACTAATGAGAAAGGAAAGGGAACAGGTTTTAGTTTAAAATAGAATAGTCCGTTAAGTAGGTCTTTGGAGTAGATAACATTTAATCAAACAGCCCTGTCTTGTGGCAGAGCCTGCTTGTTTTGTGTGAGGAGCAGCGAGGCACCTCAGCTGGGGAGAGGATCAGTTGTAGACCAACACAGGGAGGCAGATAGTGTGGATCTCTATAAGGACATGGGCTCCTATTCTGAATATATGCAGAAGCTATCAGAAGGTCTCAGATGGAGAAATGGTGTGATCTGATCTAAATTTGAAAAGGATTACTTTGCCTTCTTTGTGAAATGTAGAGTGTAGAGAGGAAACAAGGGTAGAAACAAGGAAGAGATAGTGGAGACTCAGATTGTGGTGCTGTTATTAAAGTTGATGAGAGATAGATTTTTTTTTTCTTAAGAGTCAACAAGATTTCCTACCTCTTGGTTGTATTTTAGGGGGGAAAAAAAAGAGAATCAGGACTGAGTCCAGGGTACTTGGATGAGGTACTGGATACAAGGATGGTGTTGCTATCAACTCAGATGGGAAGGGGTTGCATTTGGAGCAGGGTTAGGATAAGGAGTTCAACTTCGGACATATTGTCTGTTAGACATTTAACTCACCCACTGTAAGATAGTAGATTTAATGTCTACTTTGTTGAGATCAGAGCTTTAAGAGACTGCTTAATCTATGAGTCTCTCTCTGCTGTTTGTTGCTTAAACTTGTTTGTGTTCTTATTTTAATAATAAAGTTTGAGTCTAGAGGAAGAACATGAATGGTTTTCATATACATTAAGGGTTTGGTAGTTTTTTACGTTTCAGAAGGCAGAGCTAGAATCATGAGTGGAAGCTAGAGGAGGCATATTCCAGTAGGGGAAAATATACAAAAGACAAAAAAGCTGTGCCCAAAATTAATAACTTAATTTGGAATTGTTTTCCCTCTAATTTTAATCATATTTAGGCAGTGACTGAAAAACCATTGGCCAAGAACAGTCTGTAGAGAGTGTGTGTACTGAGAGCTGAGGTGCAGGATTTTAGGATTGGGATCTCAGAAAATATCTGTACCTGGTGATCATTTCTGCATTATTAAATGAGGAGTTCTATGTTAGGTCATGAGAATACTATATAAAGAGTTGGATTTTGGTTTAAAAAAATTGCTTATAAATGAACCACTTCAATGAACACATATCCCAAGCAGTAATATAATACTTATTACAGATAAATTTACTTCTGAAAACCCATGCAGCGAGAGACTTTTTAGGGAAGAGGTAGTCAAATTAAACTTAGTAAATTGGAAGTACAATATTGTGTAATAGGAAATTTTACAGAATTTTTGTGGTTTTTTAAAATTCTAACTCTTATATTCTAATTTTGTTTTTGTTTATTTAGATACACAGAAGTAAAAATAAGTGGAAATTTCATCTGAAGGATGGCATTATGAATCTTAATGGAAGAGATTATATATTTTCCAAAGCCATTGGAGATGCAGAATGGTGAAGAGTTGCTTCTTTTATAAATAAAAGAAACTTAAAAAAAATTTGAAGTGGATGGTTTGAAACTTGGGACATATACCAACCAAAACTTCACTTCTGCATGTCAGAAAAGTGCAGTAGAAGCAAAGCTACTGGAACAAAGATAGACCTTGACAGCATAGACACTACTTCTAACTGGCAAGCCATGGAACTGTAGTATCGGGGATTGTTGGGGTGGGGGTTGGGTTTTGTGTAGGAAAATCATAATTGTCAATTTTAAATACAGGAACTTGCCACCGGTAATTAGCATGTAAAGCTTTGTCTATATTCCTTCCTCCAACTTGGGCTCCATTAGAAGACACTTGTTGGAATGAACTGAAGAAACTTCCTTTTGATAGATTGAAATGAAACTGTTTATTGTATGTGGTTATATTTGGTAAAAATTACGTGTGAGCTTTTTACAAAAGGGTAAGAATTATGGTGTTGAATTTTAATTCACTTGTAAACAATTTAAAACTCTCATAATAGGTCTTAAAATTTTTTACCTGTTATTTTCCCTTAATAATACATACCTCTTCCCTGCTGTAAAACATCTAGTTAAGAGTTGAAGGAAGTATAATCAGTGATCAGTTCTGAGACAAAAATTTAACCCAGGAATGGATATTTATTTTCATTAGGTTTTCATACTTTAAAGACTTGGGTTTTAGTTAAATGGAATTAAAGTGACAACTTTAATTTACTTATAGAAAAACTGTTTAGTCCTACACTTCAAAATGAAACTCCCAATTGGCTCCTCAGGAATATATTTTTATTTTATAAAGATATCACCTAACTAAAATTGTATGTACTTGAGTATATGAAGGTTTTTCTTGTTGGCCTGAAATGTGTGCTTATATATGCATTTAGTCTTTAAGCTAAATATTCAGATATCATTCTGTACATTGAAGCATAAGGACAGGTGGTGAGGACCTGGATTTTTATTAAACAATTTAGTAATTATAAAAGTTTCTTGTGTTTGCTAGTAAAGAATTTAAAAACCTATTATTTTAATTGAACAAGTTTTTTAAAAGCAACTTTGTAATTTGAGGGGAAAATTGGGGAGGGAGGATGAGGGAGGTGGGCCACTAAGTACATATTTACCTCTCTTTCATTGGGTGGCTCATCTGGGCCATTGATAAAGGTAGACTTGGGCTCCAGTTTGCACAATGAAAAGAAGCATAGAAATTTGAGTGTATATTAAAATAATAGAAATTTTACTATGTATATTAAGAATGCGAAGCCCTGTATTTCTGTAAGGGCTCTGAAGAACAATTCGGCAGTGTTTGCATCAGCTGCCTTGGAGAACTGCAGAAACACTCAACTTGACTTTTGTGTTCTAAGTACTAATTTGATTTCTCATGGTTTCTCTTGACAAAATTCATAGGTGTTTTAAGTTACTTGTGTATTGATGCTTTTTGTCTTCCATTTCTCTCTTATTTGCCTTTATGTGTTTCCAGAAGTAACAGTAAAGTACATTACAAAGGAGAAAACTGTGAGCTATTATAGTATTTTCTTTTAAACACAAATCTTTCTAAAAGGCTAATAAAATTTTTTTTGTCTACTTCCCAACCCTCTTACCAACCTCTTTTTAATTTATGTTCTGAACTTTGGTGCAGATGGTGGTATCTAGCATGCTTGTTAAGTTTTATTTGCCACCACAGGTAATAACAGCTTTTATTTTGACAATATTAATCTTTCAAGGGGAAATTTATTTACCCCACTACACTCAAAGCACACACGATTTTTGTTATGTTTTCTTTATTAGTAAGATTGGGAGAAGAGAAGGGAGGGGGTAAAATCACAGAAGTCTTGTTCAGCTGTCCTTTAGTATGGTTACTAGTAGGTTAATATTTCCTCAGTGAAGAAGTCAACGACTTGAACTACCTATGAAAGTGCAGCAGTGTTGTGTAAGTTTAAACCCTTTGGCTATCTAGTAGTTCTTAATGCTACTGAACCTCGGAATACTGTAGCATGTCTTGGCCCTCTTTGTAGAAAGCATTCGTACTCATAGTAGCATTGTATACTGGCCTGTTACTATAGCTGTATTTTCACACATGAACATCCACTGCTTTCAGAATGACTCACTAGTGTTATTTTGAAGCAGGAAATAACCATTTGTATTTGCACCTGTGTGCTGCATATTAATTATAGCATACTTGCAAATGCTTTTTTTTTAACCTTTAAAAATTCTGAAAGCTGGTCCAAATAACACTGCATATCAAATTGTGTTCTTATATATTACTGCATTGTGCTCCTTTTTAATAAAATAGCATGTTTTATTTTTATTATAGTGGCTTTTGCTGTATGAATGTCACTTGCTTTGAATTCTTAATCATACTTTTAACATTATATTTAAAAAATAATTTTGTTAGGTTACATTAAAATATCATTCCTTTGGAAAGGCAAGGGATTCCTTCAGGATTTTAATATGAAAGTAGTTTGTTCGTCCAAAGGGGGAAAACAGTTCTGACTTAGTATTGAGAAAATAAGCAGTGGTTGCAGAAGAGGGTTTGTTTAGATTTGCACAGATGGTGATGGCACCTTTTACTTTTAAAAAAGTAACATTAATCAGCGCAAGGGAGAATTGACAAAATTACTGACGTGTGGAAGTGTGTGCCTTTCAGTATCCAGACTCTTGCTTGGTGGTCACTTTTAGAATCGGACCACTTGAATGCCTGGGAGCACATTTCATTTCTGTGGAGTGCCACGTGTGGCTAAAACAACTCTTTAATGTGCAATTAGTTTCTAGAGCAAAATGTCTGTTTATGAGGGGGATCTTTATATTGGGCTTTTATATTTTTGAAATATTCACATTATTTTCTGTTAAAATGTCATGTCACATTTACGCTGTTGCCTTTTTAAAAATCAAAGCCACTGATAACTGATTGCATCAAGATTTGAGCAGTGTGTATAGTGATTATAATGTGTTCTTAATAAGCATAATAGACTGCTTTTAGAAAATAAGAACATAAAAATATAATAGCTTTTGTATAAAGACTTTCTTTTGCTATAGTGAATATCAAGGATTTTTTTTCCTGACTTTTAGGGAGGAATAAAAAGAATTGTCTCCCTCTAAGAGTAATTTTTTTTATTATCTCATAGCAATAACGTCACCATTATTATCAGAGGGTAAATACGCCTTGTATGGGAAAGCAGACATGGTTTCCTCTGGGGAATTCCCTTTATAATGTAGTATTTTCTTCCACTTGAGAAAGTTCCTATATTTTCAGATTATTTCACCTTGAACTTTTTTGAGCTTTTGTGCAATGTTTTATTGATCTGTTTTTGTACATTTTCATTTCACTTCATGTGTCTGTCTTCTGCCTATCTGTTTGAATCAGCTATAGCAGATTTTGAATTTGTTGGTTTAAAAAGTAGCTGTTTATGTGTTTCCTCATAAGTTTGTGTTAGTTTTAATCTTCTATTATGCTACAGAAATTATTCTGAAATTTATATTCTTGAAGCCTGCCTTAGTCTATCATTTGTCATTTTCTGTGGTTTAAGGAAGAACGCCTCAAACTTAATATTTTGTGTATTTTAAGGAACAAAAACTTTTTTGCCTTCTCTTTTAAGGGAAGAACTACATTCAGTTAGTAACTGTTCTTTGAGTTAAGTTTCCTTAAATCCAGTACGCATTAGCGCTACGACTTGGGGGGAGGAGCTAATCCTTTTTACTGTTCTGAGCTACTATTGTCAACTGCTGTTGTACATACTGTTATGTGTAAGGACATAAATATATTTATTATGTTTGTAAAATTCATTCTGTACAATTGCAGATCAAGGTTGCTCTTCTGTGATATATGGGATATTATGTTTTAAAGGCCATCTTGAAATACAGTTAGAGAACTTAGTATTTTGATGTACTAAGACCTATTTTAAGTTTAATATTTTACCTTTGCAAAAACTTTAATTAAAGATGTTATTTAAAAAAGTAATGTTGCTTGCTTTGCTTACTAGTCCATGTTATTGTTACATAGATAACAATAAAATTATGAAAGTTTAGAAAGGAAAATGCTTTACCTTGTTAATGAGGATAAGTTTTAACAACAAGGGTATCATTAAATTCTGTACTTTTAAGATATGTTTTGAATGTTAGTTTCAACAAATAAACTTAAAAATTCTTAATAGCTTTTTAAAAAGTTGTATTTTCAAGACACACAGGAATTTAGGTTGGGATAAGCTCACACCACTAAGTGTAAGAATACAAAATTATATTGTATTACATGGATATTTCTACTCCAGAGCATAGATTACGTAGGATAAAATTGTTCAAGAACATTGTTTCTGATTTGTCTAGCTAAATCCTTTTCTCTTAGTTCAGTGTTTGTAAATAATTGATTATTAGGGGAATTGGATTATTGAGGTTTATATTATATATTGCATATATTTTGTGTTATTTTAGAAAGTATTAAATAATTAGGTGTTTTAATTTTATAGTTAATTCAAATGAATCATTAAGAAAGAGCTTGCCTTTTTGTAATTTTTTTATCCTGTTCTAGACTACTTTATCAAGGAAACATGCAAATTTTAACTTTTAAAGTAATCATAATAAAGATATTTTATTTATTGCCAGTAAATCTTGTATTTTGCAGTTTAATTCAAGTTTCTACATTGATTATGATCTTAACTTTTGTGTACTTAATTTCTCTGTCTGAAATGACAAGGATGAGATTTTGAGGATTAGGTGAGATAATACATATAATAGTCCTAGAATGGTGCTTGGTACATAGTGAGCAAGCTTCAGAATTTGCTTAATTTCATAATTATTTGCATAATGTGAAATGACTAGTACAGCTGAAAAAATTTTAAAAGGTCAGAAAACAATGTGCTGTAATTAAGAAGTGCCAAGTGAAAGATTTGGTTGCTGGGGAGGTTGAGCTGGTGAGGCCATGCATCCGGCTACAGTAGACCGGAGAGGGAAAGCATTTTATTTATTCATTTTGAAAGAGGATCTCACTACAGAGTCCAGGCTACTGCTGGAGGTGCATTTGTAGGAAGTGAAACACAATTGTTTCAAAGTCATTAATGTCTCCCTGAATCTGTGCAAGCACAGGTTTCCCTGCCATCTCTACAGCTTCCTCTCCTTTATCGTGAACGTGTATCTGGCTCATGCCTTAGCCTGAAGTGGCATACATGTTCTATAATATTTGGAGTGTGTGTTTATCTCCGATGTACTTAACGTTATTTTCATGTTCTGAAATCCCTGTTTTTGGCATATATATATGCTGGAGTATCCATGTAGAATTTCACCTTTCACAACAAAAGAACCTTGTGAGAGTTCTTGTTCTCAGGGAGGGTATTAAAAATGGAAGAAGACCCAGGTGTAGTGGTGCACACCCGTAATCCCAGTGCACTGGGAGGCTGAGGCAAGAGGATCACAGGTTCCAGCCCAGGCTGGACAATTTAGCAAGATCCTATCTCAAAAATTTAAAAAAAAAAAAAAAAAAAAAGCTGGGGTAGAGGGTAGCTCAATGTGAAGGCCCTGGGCTAGTACTCAAATCTCTAGTACTGAGAAAGACAGGTGGAGAGGAGGCCATTGAAAGAATTTGTAGACAGTTTTTAGTGAACCAGAGAGAGACGTTTGGAAAAAATTTGGTTTTAATGGAAGGAGAGGGACAGGGATTAGGAATATATATTTCTTGAATCCAGAATAACCTAACCTGCTCTTACATTTCACAATAGCCTGGAAAGAGCTTGTTCTTATCTTCATTTTATAGATGAGATTTGTGGAAGCCAAGTAATTTGCATAAGATCACAGTACAAGATGATAATGAAGGTTGGGAGAGTGAGGCCAAGGTGCTTTACCTAGTTTGGATGAAATAGGTCTTTGTCCCCTAGGTTGCCTAGAACAAATGCTTTACCCCTTAGCTAGACTTGTTCATGAGAGCCCATGGCCCTGCAGCAGCCTGGTCTTGATTTCTGTTTAGAGGAGGCCTTCTGGGAGTACCCTGCACTCCGCTGTCTGTACCCATCACTCCGAAAAGACAAGATAAGTAAAAACACCTGGGACCACATCAAAGTCTCTCTGGGGAGTTGTGCCATGCTGACGTGGGAATTGGCAGTCAGTTGTGGGTTTTCCCTTCCCCTAAGGGTTAAATGATTAAGTAGGGAAAACTGGTGTTTTGTGTAAGGCAGAGTTGTCTTCGGGTGAGTGTGACAGCAACAGTTGCTTACTGTATTAGCTTTTTGTCCCTGGACCAAATACCCATCATACACAACTTAAAGGAAGTGTTTGTGCTCAGGTTTCAGAGGATTCGGTCCACGATCAGCCACCTCCACAGCAGAAACATCCTGGCAGAAGGGTGTGCTGGGACAAAGCTGCTCACTTGGCAGTTGGGAAGCAGAGCAAGGAAACAGGAGAGGAGGGGGCCGGGGACTATGCAGAGCACCCAAATCACACCTCCACGACCCACCCACACACCACCAGGAGTGTGCTGTACTAAAACTCTACGTGATTCTCAAGCAGATTGACAGTTTAATTGACCGGTTTAATTGTCACAATTCCCGAGCTTCCTTTTGCAATGAAAGTGACTATGGTGGTAGCTAGGCTTACAGCTACCTTCCCTCAAGTTCAGTTTTGAACTAATGCTCCAGGATGGCAGAGCCAAATGCCATGGCTGTTGCTTGGTGTTGGTGTGCTTTGTTCTTCCATTTGGAAAAAAGCAAAGGGTCTGGAAATGACCCGTGTCACCACCTACTTATAGTCGGGACTCCTTCTGTTACAAGGTACAGAAAACCTAGCCAAACTGGCTTAAGCAAAAGTAGAAATATAAGAGTCACAGAACTGGGATACCAGGCTTCAAGAAAACTGGGATTGGGTTCAAGTTATCAGTGACTGTCTTAAAGACATTGATGAGCAAGGGAACCTCTTCTAGGAATGTAATTCTATTTTTTTTTATTTTTCACTTTTTAAAATTAAAAAAAAATTTTTTATTTTTTGGTGCTGGGAACTGAACTTAGGACCTTGCGCTTGCCAGGCAGGTTCTATGCTGCTGGGTTATGTCTCCGGCTAGGAATGTACTTCTACATAACTGATAGTCACAGCTTACCCTGTGTTGGGGTGTAGGTTGAGGAAGCAGAGGGGAAATGGTGTTTAGTTTTAAAGCATCTTAATGAGTTTTGTATGTTCAAATGTGAGCTGGAGGGAAAAAAACTACTCTGTGTGAAAAATGACAAGATACTGTGAGAACTTGAAAGCTTGATGAAGAAGGGCTGGAAAGGAGGAGAGGGCTGATCCTGAGCCTCGTGTAGGAGTGTGGAGGTCCCGAAGGAGAAAACGGGGATCCAGATGAAACTGTCGAGAGCAACAGTGTGTAAAGTTGCACTTAAAGACTAGGTTCTGTGAGGGAGGCATACCTGCCCCATTACCAGAAATCCCCATTACTCACAAGCCTTCAAAATGTGGTCTGACTCATTCAAAAGGCTTGGCGCTGTGGGGACTGTGGGGAACCAGAGGAAAAAGCTGTTGGACTAGTGAGGATAAAGAGAAGACAAAACTTCAGGGGTCAAATGGGAGTAGCATTGCTGGTTCCATGGGTTACAGACATCTAAGAGATGCGGGGAAGCCGGAGCTATTGGGCATGGGAGTCAGTGTGCTATATTCCCTTCTGCGTCTGAATGGAGACTTAAGCCATTTTAACTGAAATGTGAGAGAAATGGTGATCTGCAAAGGCTGAATTAGCTTATAATCTTAGGGCCGCTGACATAAGTTGTCCTCTATTTGACAAATGAGGTCCCGAGGTCCATGAGGGTTGAGTGACCTGCATAAAGACACACAGAGAGGAAATGGTAGGTTCCAGATTTGAGTCCTGATCTGGTCAGTGGTTTTCGTTGAAGGGGTCCTTTCCAACTAGAGAGAAAATTATTCATCCTAATCCACATCCCATGTCTGCTGCTGTGAACTTTTGTCACCAGGAGTGTGGAATGGGAAAATGCAGGGGGGAATCACAGAAAATTTCAGTCAGTCTTCTTTACTGTAGTTTTGCAGCTATCAGAATAATGGCTTAGAAAATTATGGCAGAGCCAGGCGTGGTGGCGCGTGGCTGTAATGCCAGCACTTGGGAGGCTGAGGCAGGAGGATTGTTGCAAATTCGAGACCAGTCTGTGCTACAAAGTGAGCTCAAGGCCAGCCTGAACTGCATAGCGAGACCCTGTCTAAAAAAGACAAAAAAAAAAAAAAATTTATGGCAGGATATGACTATTTAAATTTCACCAGTTTAAGTGTTAGATGTTTAAATTTTTGTTTTTCTTTTCAATTTTTTATTTCTCACACAGGATAGACAATATAGGCTCATTCTATTAGAAATAACCCTCTAGTTAGAGAGAAAGAAAGAATAAAAGAAATCCAGCAAAACTCAGGTACATTAGGAAAAAAAGGCAAAAACTCTTGATTCAGTTTCTGTATCTGTAATAATGCCTACCTTGTTAGATTGTTGTAAGGATTAAGATTGTAAAGATTAAGTTAAATAAAACACTTAGGACACAAAGAATGGATGTTGCATGGTGTGTTAGCTATCATTGCCATTTTAGGCAGGGATGTTTTCTAATAACTGGTCACTGAAGAAGGGTTGTAGGTGGAGAACTGAGTCAAGAGATGTTTTTCGTATACCTGAGGGTCAGTATTATTACATAGTCAAGTGGAGACTGAAATCCACGTAGTCTTTAGAGTCTGCTTTTAGCCTCTGTTCTGTACTGCTTTTCAAGGAAGTGTACATATACTCAGGGCTCTGGAGAAGCCAAAAATCTCCCAAGAGTGCCAAGCTCCAAGTCTAAGTACAGAATTGAGATTTACATTTAGTGTGGACTCTCAAAGCAAAAATAACAATAATAGTAATAACAACAATTGCCGCTGGAAATATACCAAGTGTGCAGTAGAAGCAAAGCAATATTTCCGCATATAATGCTTCCATCCCTTTGGTAAGCTGGAACTCTAATGGCAAAAGTTAAGCCTTGCTAATGAGTTACTCAGGCAGAATGACAGATTACATGCGAAACCAGTTCCCTCTAAGGGAACACTGATGACATGACCAGCAAGACTTGCAGCCTAAAATTCAAAATAATAGAATAAGCTAAATATGATATATTTAATTAAACAGATAAGTTAAATCCTATACTCACAAGTAGATAATAACACTATAGTAAAAAGAGGTGGTATCTGAAAACAAAGTAAGACATAACATTAAAAGACCTTGTGATGGTGAATGTTCTGTGCCGGCTCGCCCAAGCCACGGGGTGCACGAGTAGTGATGAAACGCGGTGTCTGGGCTCGTCTGTGTGAGTGCTCCTGGAAGAGCTCAGCATTTGCATCAGCCTGAGTAAGGAAGATCTGCCCTTTTCAATCTGAGCAGCAGCATCCAGTCCCTTAGGACTAAACAAGACAGCCGAGGAATGGTGATTTCTCTGCGCCTGCGTAATCTGGGACCCCGGTTTTCCCCTGCTCTTGGTCATCAGAGCTGCTGGTTCTCAAACATTTAGACTCACCCTGAATTGTGCTGTCAACTTTCCTGGCCCTCCATCTTGTTCATGGTGTCTTGGGGACCTCTCAGCCTCCATAATGGCATGAGCAATTGCCTATAAT